TTGTCGTGTATCATATAGTTGTGATGCATTCTCAGTGCACTTTGGCCTGCCCGACACTGTTGTTTTGGTCCTGCATTCAAGTATACGGCTTGGGGCTTAGAAAGCAGACTCGAGGCTTCAAAGAGGAGGCCCGAGACCAAAAAAACAAAAAAACAAAATCTGGGAGAGTGGGAGAGACCCTTTTGGTTTCGGCTGGATGTTTGGTTTTTTTGTTTTACACTGTTTTTTGGTTTTTGAGTCGAAAAACTAAAGAAACACGTGTTTTTTTTGGTTTTCGCTGTTTCCCGATCGCTAAATCGTGCTAAAACCCTAGCAGTTTTTGTTTTATCATTCAAAAACCAAAAAACACATGTTTTTTTTGTTTTTCAGCGAGGCGACACCATGAAAGCCAAAAAACACATGTGCTTTTTGGTTTTTCGACCCAAAAACCAAAAACAAACAGTGTCAAACCAAAAAAATCAAAAATCCAGCCGAAACCAAAAGATTATCGTCCAGATTTGATGCTTTTGGTTTCGGGTTGTTTTTGCTGAGTCGCAAAATTGTGGGAAGCAGGTTTCCAAAGCAAATGGCTGTATGTGTTAGTGTTTTAATAGAAAAACAGAGTTTTCTCGAGCCCCAAAATGTTCCAAAACACAGCTAATTCTTCGTTTTTGACCAGAAAACCTAGGAAAAAACACACGTTTTTTCAGGAGTTAGATAGAACAAATTGCTTCGCAAGATTGTGGAAAGCAAAGAGGCAAAGAAGCACTGCAAAACACAGTATTTTTCAAGACAAAAAGAGGACCGGTGGATCATGGGGGGGGGGGTGTGGTGACCACACACACACACACATATATATATATATCTGTATGTATATGTGCACAGATTGCGTATATATGCCCATACGTACATGCATACATACGTACATACATGCATACATACATACATACATACAAGCATACATACATATTTATATACATGCTTCATAAATTACTGGTTACATACATGATAAATAATATACATACATGCACACATGTTCCGTTTTTTTTCGTCTCGTTCGTGTCTGTGAAAAGTGGTTGGACAAGCGCGCTGAGTGGTTATGCTCCTTTTGCCTTCCGTCGGTTCCAGGCAGCTAGCTCCCTTTACCCAAGTCGGGGCTCCCTGTGAGATCCGCGTGTTATTGCGAGGAACGGCCAGCAGGGTGCACCGTGCCGGTTCCCTCTGAGCCGCCACAGGAGCCCAGCTTGTAGCCGCTGTCCAAGCCGACTCGTCACAGGTTTTTTCTGCGGGGTCTGCTGGCGGTGTGCCCTGCAGGAGCACAAGGAAGCTCTTTCCTCCAGCCTGCCGCCGGGTCATTCGGCCTTGACTTGGTTTGACTTGCGTCTGTTGCGGTCAAGAGAAGGACAAAAGAGTCTGATCAGTTCTTGCGTAGCTGCGGGTGCAGTGGAGCATCCATCAGCCAACACAAGTTTAGAGGCTTCACCAACGCAGTTCATGCAAGCATCACAGGCTGGGAGTCAGAATGGGACAGCCGCTATCAACGACCGTACTTCTTCAACCGCATGACGAAGGAAGCAGGGCGACCTTGATGCAGCTGTGATGAGAGAAGAGACTACATTTTGACTACATGTTCTTACTGGTGCACATGCCTATATGGATGCTTCTGCCGTTCATATTGTTGCAGATACTAGGTCCTGATTTGTCGGCATGTGACGAATGTGTGTGTGTGTGTATATATATATGTCACATGTATATATATATACACACACATATATATATAGATAGATAGACATATGTATATATGTCTGTCTGTCTGCCTGCCTGCCTGCCTGCCTGCCTGTCTGTCTGTCTGTCTGTCTGTCTGTCTGTCTGTCTGCCTATCGGTATGTATGTATGTATGTATGTATGCATGTACGTATGTCTGTATGTATTTATCTATGTATCTAGGTAGCTAGGTATGTATGTATGTATGTATGTATGTATGTATGTATGTATCTATGTAAGTATGTCCATGTATGTCCGTGTATGTCCGTGTATGTGTGTATGTATGTATGTATGTATGTATGTATGTATGTATGTATGTCCGTGTATGTCCGTGTATGTCCGTGCATGTCCGTGTATGTCCGTTTATGTATGTATGTATGTATGTATGCATGCATGCATGCATGTATGTATGTATGTATGTATGTATGTATGTATGTGTGTATGTGTGTATGTGTTTATGTGTTGATGTGTGCATGCGTGTATATGTTTGTGTATGTACTTGCCTGTATACAAAGGGCGTGTATACAAAGTATACGTGTATATATATATATACACACACACACACACACAGCTGGACTGCTCAGCATTCCTGCACTTGTTGGCCATCCTATGCTACATTGCGTGGGTTGTGCCGTTATTCTCGACTGCTTCCCAATATGCCGTAAGTCATAAGGAGATGGAATCTGGAAGCAAGGCGAGGCCTCACTTAAGTCAAATGCCAGAGGAGCGAACGTGGGAGCGGCCGAAGGCAGGCCCTTTGCTCGAAAGCCGTGAATGTGAGTCGCGCTTTATAGCTGCCATTCTGTTGCTTGGGCCGTTTTTTGCAACAGATGATGCTTCTGATGAGCAACACGAGAATTGTTTGGATGGATGGTTTTTTGCTTTCGGTCCGGCGTCTGGAAATTACTGCACAGCTACGGATGCTTCCTATCGTTTCAAAGTTTCGTAGGCTTGGCTCAGAATAATCTCCGGGAGCTTGTTTGCAAGGCGCAGGGCCGTGAGTTGCAGCAGCCCTGATATGTTGTCCATGTGGTTGCAACATCATGCTTCCGAAGGCGGAGCCGGCAGCCAGGGCAGCGCCGCCCCCGCCGGTCGGCACCGCAGCCACCACAGCGTCCATAGGAGGCTTGGCCTCTGCGCATGTCTGTGGCATTTGATTCCTCTGGTTGGCTGCATTCCGATGTCACACTCTTCGCTGCCTTGTGAGCGTTGGGTGATCAGAACTTTTGCTCTTGACTGGTGTGAGTGTGGACGAGTCGCAGTCCCGAAAGAGAACTTGTGAAGAGCTTGTCGAAGTTCGCTTCTTAACTCAACAAGTAATATAATATACTATACTATAATATACTATACTATACTATACTATACTAGAATATCATATAATATAATACAGTGTCCACAGCCTTCCCTTGCAGGCGATCCCAAGGCCAAGCAGCCCCGGAAAGACGGAGCAGGAGCCTCCGCTGTAAGTGGAGGGCCTTGGACTCGGCTCGGATGTCGGCGTTGTTTTGGATGTCCCGGTCGGGCCCTAAACCCTAAGCCCTAAAAATTAGACAGAAGACTCAAAAAAAGAATTAGACAGATTGGCAGAGGGAGGAACAGGCGTGCCTGCAGGGCAAGGCTGAGAGTTTGCTCGCTGATTCCTGCTGCAGAAACGGTGCGTTCTCGTGGGTCACTATTTGGCACGGAGGCACAGGCAGGAGGGAGTTGCAGAGTTTCAGAACAGAACATGACACAAAAAGCCTAGGGCCCTAGCTATAAGAACCCCACATTTCCAGGAGCCGCCGCCATGGAGGCTCGGGATCTCAAGCGCCGTTCTCCTACAAACATGTGATTTCCATTCACTGCAGACAGACTCTGAGCTCTTCGGTGTAGTTTCCACGGATCTTGCCAAGTCTTCTGCTAGGCTTCGGAGGCGGTGTCGGTGCTTGACTTTACTTCTGGGTTCCTGAAGGGCCCAGGAGAGATGGTAGACAGGCCTGAGACCCTTGAGAAGTTGACGGCCATGGGGAGCGGTGAGAGGGCGGGGAGGGCCGGCTGGACCAGACCGACTTGGTACGATGCTTTTGCAGGAGACCATCTCCCCTGGAAGCTCTCCGCAAGGCCGCCAGCCACCAAGTCTTCGGGCTGTCCTGGCCGAAGTTTGTCGGTCTGAAATTCGGGGTTCGGTGTGCCTGCTTGGCCAAAGTTCGGTTTCGGTGACTGCTACAGCCTTGGTGCAGTGGAAGCTCCAAAGCTGTTGGTTTTGGCGTTTTTTGCCAGCCACCGGCAACCTCTGGTTGGGACTGCTCGTCAGCCTGCTGCGTGGCATGGTACCATGCTCGCTCCACTTGCCACTAAGCTTCGTGTTCTGCTAGACCAACTCAAGACAGGTTTGTGCCATGAGAGTCGAAATGCACAAGCTCTCACATCTGGTTTCTGTGGCGGTGCCTTCTTCCAAGGCAACCTTGCTGGGGTGCAGCGCCGAGGAGCAGGCCCAAGAGCTCTCATATGAAGTCTGATTCGCCGTAGGCTCCTGCAGGATCGAAATGAGGAGGTGGGTTTGGTCTCTGGCATTTGCACCTTTGGAAAGCGCTCGACGTAACCGCTCCGAATCAACTTCAGCGAAGCTCAGCAATGACTCGACAAGAATGCCCGGTAAACTATTGCATGTCTCGAAGCTTTCGAGCAGCCAGAGACGGGTGCTTCTGGATCTCAAGGCACAGATTGGCACGCGGAAGAGTTCAAGAACCGCTTGGAGAAGGTGCAGCTGTGAGGGGCCGGGTTGTTTGATACAGGTGTCTCTGTGAGGATCCTCTGCATGTGCTGCTGGCTGAGCGACGACACCTTTGTAATCAAGACTTGGAGAACTGACGTCACAAAACAACCGGGAGATGCGCGCCCACCGTGCGCTCAGCAAGCATTCAAGCCTTCGCAGTGTTGCCTGTCAAGCTTGGAGGATGTTGAAGAGTCGATGAAGGGCTGTCAGACTCCGGGATTTGTGGCCCAGCAATCACGAACATGCCCGCATAGTCTGAGAACTCCATGACAACGCCATGCCTGCCTTGAGAGGCGAGAAGCACCAAGGACAGAAACTTCATCAAGTCCATCTTGAAGGAGGTGTCTTGGGGAGCCAGCTGCTGGGTGGGATGATGTGGGATGGAAAGAGGCTAAGTGTGACAAGATCTCATATCGAGTAATATCGTTTCCAGTATGTTATGTTGCATCAGACCCACGACAGAAGCTGCCGCTGGATCGACACAGAGCAAGTTCGCAGTCAAGCCCACCAGGTGCGACGATGTGCGAGAGAGAGAAACAGAAGGACATGGAGTGGACTAAATGAGGAAGTTGAGTGCGCGGGTGGGCAGCTGGGTGGCTTAGGAGCCAGGTGAGCGAGTGGAACTTCTCTGTCCAACAGAGCATAATTCAAGCCAGTCGTCCTGAAGCGTGAAAGATGAAGCTGAGGGGGCTTTTTATCAAGTTCTGGTCTGTTTATCCTTGCGCGTTCGTTACTGCACGTGTATTAAATACTGTCTGGCAGAACGAGATATAGCTCTAGTACTGGCTTAGTAGTGCGTGTTCCACAAAACCATTGGGGAAGGCAGCGCAAGGAGCGACAGCGATTTGGATGCTAGGCACACTACTGTTTTCAAACCTGAGACTTGCCGTGTCGTGGAAAACCCATCTGGCTTCTCCCGAGCCTATTGAGTGGACTCACATCTGAAGCTACATTGCTGCCTCAAGTCCCCGGCTATGTTCACAGAAAGACATGAAAAGCACAGCTTAAGGTCAAAAAACCGCAAGAGATAGGAAGGAAGAGCTGCACTGATGCCTGTCTAGGACATGTCTTTTCTCCGGTCCAGGCCTTCAAGTGGGAAGTGGGGGGCGGGGACAGAGGAGGCGACATTTCTTGGAACAGACGCCGCTAACAACAAACAAGCACCAATGACTCCACAACACTTATCGGAGCCGATCTCTCTCCGACACCCCAGTAACTTGCAGCCGGGAGCAGACATCAAAGCAGACGATCGAGACCTTCTCTTTGCATCATGCCTCAGGTTGCGGAGAACAATTACGCTTTGCGCAACCAGTGGGCCGTCCCAAGGCACCGGCGCAGTGCTGCGCTGTGTAAGCGCAACTCGAGGTGGCAAGGGATGTTTGTTGACAGAGGCTTCGCCAAAAAATTTCACCCGACATATCCTGAGTCTATTCCAGCAGCTTATCGATGTTAAAAACGAGACTCAGACTGCCAGACTCTGCTTTGGGCCACCCTGACAGGACAGAGCTCGTTTCAGCGGAATCTTGCGGAGCCCTCGGGTTGGAAGTTTCTCCAAGTAGCCGCCAAGTGTGGAGGAATTCACTAGACCTTCTTGCTCGCAGCACTGATGAAGATACGTTTGCCGAAAAGCCAGCCCTGCAGCTTTGTGGGTTTGTGTTGCGGTCCCCCTAACCTCCTAAACCTTAACTAAACCCTTCAAAGCCTGTCCTGACCATGACCGTAAAAAACGGTACTGCCGTGCGATCAGGTTTGAAGTCTCGAGTCACTGGCATGGGCACAGACCCAGAGGCGACGAAGAGGGGAAAGAAGCTTTCATTTGTATGATTAGAATAGTAATAGTAATAACATAATAGTAACAACAACTTTTGGTATGAATATGATAACCATTGCTAATAACATAAAAGTAACAATAACATTACTTTTGGTATGAATATGATACCCATTGCTAATCTTTGCAGGATCGGGACTTACAAGCGCTTGCAGGGTCAGGCGCTGCTCCCCAGCAAGATTCCAAGTCTCGTCCCCACTGAAGCTTTAAAGAATTGAACTCATTAACTATGTCATCAACCCTTGGCCGGAAAGCGTAGCCCGAAAACTGAAGCTCGCAGATCACCTTCTCGTGCATGACCACAGCAGATGCCTGGCGCTTAGAGCTTTGACTACCACGCTTTTGCTGGCAGATTGATCAGTTCACAGCGGGCTTTCTTACTGAGTGTTAGGAGTTCCTTATGTTTTAGATGTTCTAGTGATCTTTCAGAAGCTACCACTTCATCCGACCATGATCACCGTGCTTTCTCAGGCGCTGATGTTCTTTGGCCGCGAGCCCAGCCGCAAGGCTGCCTGGGAGCCGTTCTCGACGGCCACGCATGTAAAATAAGAACATGAGCTTCATCATAATGGCAACACTAGTTATAACAGCTGTTTCAATATCGAACTGTGCTGATAATTCTGGGCTGTCTTTTCTATTTTTCTGCTCGTGCCCAGTTGCTAGTTGCTACCCCTTGTCTCGGCAGTGTTATGTTTTACCACCATCTTACACTTACTTTTGTTTTGCACTCCTTGTTTCCAACTGTGAAACATTCGGTATTACACAGGCTTGGTTTTGTATATCTGCGACCGGCGATCGTGACGATGGTCGTTATGCTCATGACCGTGGTCGTGATCAGGATCCATGATAAAATGCTAGACGTTTATGTCTGTGTTGATGTGTGTATCTATGCACGGATGTGGTTATGTACGTGTACTTGTTTGTATGTATGTATGTATGCATACATGCATGCATGTATGTATGTTAGCAGGTTTGCTGGTATTTCTGTATGTATGTATCTTTGTTTGTTTGCTTGCTTACATGTTTGTATTCATGTCAATATACATACGTAGGTACGTGTGTGTGTGTGTCTGTGTTAGTGTGTGTGTGTATGTATGTTTGTGTGTGTGTGAGTGAGTGTGAGTGTGTGTGTGTGCTTGTGTCTGTATATACGTGTATCTATATAGACATATAGACATATAGGTATATACGAACGAAAGCGTGCCCTGCTCCGGTGCTTCTGCTTTCAATGACCCATACCGGTGCATCGATGAATCAGTGTGCGTGCGCACGTAGACCTGCTGCCATTGTGAGGGGTACATAGGGGTACAGTTCAAAGCACTGCTGCGGTTTAAGTTGCTAGTGCAACTAGTTTAGCAGTATGTCCTGTGGCTGCTGTTGTGTTGTCGTTCTAGCGCTTCACATCAACGTATGGATGATTCGACATCTGGTTATGTGGAGCCTCCAGCATTTTCGAGCATTCAGTCAGGTCAGCTACTCGCTTGAAAGAGATGCGGAAGGGTCACAAGGAATTAGGGGAGCTAAGACAGAACGGTCTGCGCCCTTGTGCTACCTTCCACGAACCGGAGCAGTCACATGTCTGCATGCGTGATTTGGAGTCGCATATGTTTCCGCCCTTGGCGCTCGAGCTTGTGAGTGGAACCTGTGAGAGGTTGTTGGACTCAACTTTGCCAACGGACAATCAGTTGGCGGAGGCGAGGCATCATGTATCGAGGGGCTTTTGGGGGCCTGTTGTGGTTCCAGTGGACGGCTGTCGCGCTGAAGCTTTTCAAAGTAGATCCTGACAAACAGCCGAGTTTGAGAACCGGTTCCGGAAGCAAAGTGTCAGGATGTTTAAGTAAGACGAACGAAGCGCCTGTCCTCTCATTGGAGCCAAAGACTAGCCAGTGACCTTGCAGAGCAACAGGTAGGGGAGGTTCCCAGGCCTTCGCGAACAGAACCGGAAGCGACGGCAAGTCCCTTCGGATCTGCATTTGTGTGCCAGGCTACAAGAACGGGGCATATGCGCAAGAGGAGGAGCGAATATGAGCCAGAGCCAGATCTGATCGGCCATGGATTACAAGATTCCAGCAAATGTTTCACGAGAAAGGCATGCAACCTGGAAGTCCACGAAGCTCCTTTAATCAGCGGAGCCACTGTCTTTGTCTCAGCACCGCAGGACTTGTGCCGTCGAATGCCCACGCTCTACACGTCGCTCTACAACGCAAAGAGGGAGCGGCGCATGTTGAATGCATCCTGAATTGCTGTGATATTCCGTCGTCCATGCTCCCAAGCCGCAGGAGGGGCACTACCCTTTCGGCCCAGCTACTTGCTCGAGTGCCAGTCCGGCAAGATACTCTGACGCAAAGGCCTCAGAAAGAAAAGAACATGCGGCCAGCCAGTCATTCAAGTACAGCCAGAGGCACATGTCTGTGAACTAGCCTACTATACTCGCATAGCTTGACACGGTTTAGGGTGTTGGAGCACCCCCCCATATCATCCGAGGTCTTGTGGACCCCGAAGGTTTGCATCGCACGCGCGGGTGAGGTGCATCAGCGCGGTGTTTGCAGACAAACTCATGCATGCAGCTGTCTGTGTCTCCGTCCCTGTTACCATTTGTGTTAAGTTTGTGTATATGTGTGTGTGTGTGTCTCTGTGTGTCTGTGTGTCTCTGAGTGTCTCTGTTTGTGTGCGTGCGCGTGTGCGCGCTTGTGTTTGTGTGAGTGCTTGCGTGTCTGCCTGTCCTCGTGTCAGCGGATGTACAGTTCTGCGCAAGTGATTTCTAGCAAGGGGGTTCAATGAGTCCTAAACCTCGGAACATGCTCTAGGCTGCTTGCCCAATGATTCGGAAAAGCCCTTGCTTGCAGAGCTACCCAAGTCCAGGCCCAAAGTGAGCCACACTCTGAGCACTCATCACGTCATAAGAAGTCGAGACGTAATCAATCAGACCACCAGCGACCCGTGCTGGCGAGACAGGAGCGAGGATTCGAGCTCCTCCCCAAGGATCAACAGGCAGGATCACGAAGTTTAGGCTTGCACTGAGGGTTCAGAGTTTAGGTTCCCATTGAATTCAGCTGTTCATCAATACCATCCGACGAATTCGGGGATTAGACTAGACACGACTGAGGGACACCAAGAAATGATACCAAGAACAGCAATTTGAGTCGTAATCATCCTCATCGAGCGTTCACATCCCATCTAAACGAGCTAGTACGTCAAAGGTTCTTGACACGAAGTACGCTCGCCTATCCTAGTGGTTGAAGAGTGCATCTGCAGCGTGTTGCACGACATCGTGGTGCTTGTTGGCACCTCTACCACGTATCCTGACCGAGATCCTTCGAGTCTTCGAGGCCTTCATGCAACACTGGCCCCAGATATTGCACAACACCGATGTTATCATTGCATCGAGGCTAACGTGTCGCTGGTGGCAGCAGCAGCACCGCCCTGCGCCAAGCTGACACTCTGCGGTTTGCCATGCGTGTGCTTTCCGGCGCCAGTTCTAGTCGGTGAGCAGCAGAGCATTGCCTCAGCCACCTCTATCTCAAATGCAAACATCTCTTCAACCGGGGCCGTGCCCAAGGAACATTAAGTTCGCTGATCCTCCGGAGCGCTACGACAAAGACTTGATGTGCAGCTGGCATGTGTTGCAGACGTCTTGTAGAACCTCAAGCAAGTCGAGAGAAGAGTTGAGGAAGCTCCAGGATCCCTTTGTTGACGCCGTAGCTTTCTATCGAGGACGAGCATGTGCATCGCAGGCTGAACACAGTGAAGGCTGTTCTCCTGGCACCCCTCAACAAGCAGCCGGAGGCCCCTTCTCAGCTGGGTGTCTCAAGTCAACAGCAAAGCTACCCACAGCGAGTAGCTTCAATCTGTGGTCCACTTGCGGAAAGAGTCCTAGGCTTGAAGGTTGAAGTCGGTGAATGATGCTTGAATTCTACTCCTCCGGGTTACTTGTCCTAATCGAAGTAAGTATCCCAAGCCCCCTGGCCTGAGACCACCACTATCGTGCTTGGTGCCTGGGGATGCGGTGCCTTCGGCTGTGCCGGCACCTCAGAGCTGCATTGATTTTTGAGCTTTTAAGGCCACTTAGCCTGGCTCAGGATTGCCTTAGCCAGCTTCCACGCTCCCTCATGTCTCTGTCTTTCTCTGTTTCGTTTGTCTGGTTTCCCTTGCTTGTGCACGCGACACTTTCAGCAGCAAGCTGGTCTTTGCGTGTTGTGAATCCCAGCAAATGTCTCGATGGTGAAAGTTAGGCTACCCTGTGCCTGTAACATACAAGAGACATTTTGGACACCGTGGCTTTGGCGAGGACCCATATGACATCGCGGAGCTCTTTGTCAAAGCCCTTGTGGAACACAGGCCGGAAAGGCTTAGGGTTTGAGGGTTTAGGGCCCCCAGCCCTAGGTAGACGTGTATAGCCCTTCTGGGACAAGCCCCGCCAACCCTGAGCCCCGAGTCTTACAGAATGCTTATAGTTTTCTAACCCGGGAGATATGGCAACCTACAGTACCCTGGTACCAAGAGTAACTAGTGTAGTAACCCAAAAGTATCTTTGTCAGTAACCAGTCTGAAGCACCTCGAGACCCTGCGTCAGGCTGGGCCGCCTCTACAGAGAGGTCCACTTTGCCATACCTCAGTTTGATGCCGGGACCCTCAGAAGGCAGAGATTCTTGGAGTTCAGGTTGTATGTTTGGGGTTCAGGGTCTAGGGTTATGTCCGGGGAAGACCTGGTTTAGGCTAGGGTTACTAGCTGGAGGATTCTTGAAGATGTCGGGGAGCCTTTTTGCAAGAGTGGAGTCCTGATAGCCGAGACCGCTTTATGATGCTAGACTCGGACTGCGTTTTGCGACTTGTGTGTTTGCAGCTGATGGTGTGCATGTGCGCGTGTGCATGTGTGTGAGCCTGTCTGTTGAAACTCGGTTCAATGGGGTTCATGTTTTGGGGGAGTTCAACAAAGGTCCGGGCTAGTTGAGTCGACCAGGGCTTCTTTTGCGATGCCGGATCTTCCGTTATGCCTTCATCTCTTACATTACAGGAAAATGCCGAGTGTATGAATCAAGGGATCCTGAAGGCACCAGGCTAAAACGGGGCCCGAGACTCCACGGCCCGAATTGAAAATACCGAAGCCCACACCGGGGTGTGCAAGATCCTATTCTCCGGTGTTTCTGTAGCCACGTAGTAGCACACCCAACAGCCACCCAGGTCACCGACCAGAATCCTACAGTCTTCCGTGAGATCTTCCGACTCTCCTCGGCACTTAGGAGGGTCACCTCTCATGAGAAGCAAGGTGAATACTACTGTAGAGTCCTAGATCCATAAAGGTTTCAGGGTCAGAGCTAAGGGTCGATGCCTTGGGGAGCCTTTGCTTTGGTGGGCTGAAGGGCACCTCCCCTCCCCTCCCCTTGCCCCCAAATATCGCCCCGTCTTTGGAAGGATAATATGGGTGCAGGTATGATCCCTGAGGATCGAAGGGCTTGCTCTTACACGCGGACACGCATACGTACACTCATACATAGACACACATGTATGTGTATGTATGAAACTGTAACGAATGACGTTTGCGTCCTGGTGTGTGACCAATCAAATGCAAGCATGCAGGAAGCATTGCTTCCTTTGGAGGGTTTGCCCTCAAGTGCAACATCTGGTGCAGCTCTGTATTTAAAGAATTTACTTACGGTCCGCACGTGAAAAGAAGTAAGACACACCGCATTACATGCCTTCCTACCACAGAATCTGTTGGCGATTCGAGCTTACTACTTCGGATTGCTTTCAGTGTCTGTTCGTGCCAGTCAGCAAAGGCCGCAAAGCCGTGAAGTTCAAAGAAATCGAGATGACTCTTGGCTGCAATGTGGGCCAAGCTGCGAACTTGGATTTTGGCTTGGATTCATCCACCGACTTGGCACAAGGTCTGGTTTAGTGAAGTGCTCGAATAAGATGGAATCCTTGCAAGATCTTGTCATCACTTGTCTCGTCCTCTTTTCGGCCCACCAGTCTTCAGGTAGTTGTATCATGGATGGTCGGGGAGAATGTACTACGATGTATGTATGTTACAACACACGTAGACGCAGACGCCAAGGCACCCAGTTGAGAAGCAAGCGCGTGTTTGGCCTGCATACTTTGTATGAACCTTCAGCGATATCATGCACCTTGGTCAATCTGGAGAACAACAATTGGCGAGACTATAGGGAGCTTGCAATGTTAACATTCGATGGAACCTGTCGCAGATAGAGCGCCTACAAAAGCTACACGTGAGGAGCCAGTAAGTATGTGCACACATATGAAGGCATGTCTCAAGCAAGTAGAACTCTAGGTATATGTAGATGTTTTACCAGGGCGCTCTTTCAATCAATTGGAGACGTGATGACATAAGAAAAGTCACGGTGAGTTCATATACAAGTGCTGTATGCTATACATATATGTATGTAGTCGGTTGCATTTGTTACGAAGTTTGTGCAGTAGAGAATGTGGTGAAATGTGGCAAGTGTACTGTCCAGGCACTCAGACTCATGTTTGCATGCAATGCTGCCTATACACACGTGCAAGAGCTTATCCTTCCTTTGCTTTACGATCTTGTAAACCGATCTGAGTGTTCATGCTTGTTCTGCCTCCACTGCAGGAACGGTCCTTGAGGCAAGGCCCGGGTCGGTGAGCCTTGAGTTCGGGTTTGCGCATACCTAGCCGTTCGGCAACGCCCTACACTTGCCTACGTGGGGGCCCGGACTCCCTCAGGAAAAAATTCAATCGCGAGGTGTTCTTAAGACTAGAGGAAGCTCGATCAAGGTGAAGCTCGCGCAGGAGCCCCTGCTGTTTTGAATACTGAGAGGAAGTACGGCAAGCTGATGTACAGCAGATGCCCAGTCAGACTCCGGCTGACAATGCACAAGGTACTGTAGTCACCGCACGAGAAGCTGGTGACGCAGGTTTCTTGGTGTCAGATGCTGTCTCTAGTCGATGACCAAATCAGTTCGAGTCTCGCTGGGGCACACCCCTGCGCAAGGTCTGAAGATCTAGTGCAACAGCAGGAGGCCACGATAGACGTATAGATGTAACGAATCTACGCGAACTACAGGTTTGCTGGACCTTTTGCTTGTAAGCTCCCCCCCAAGGAGGAAGCTTCACTCCTGTGTGTACAAGGAGTGAATACCCATGCATCCGCTATCTGCGGCAGCACCTCATATGAGGGCATGCGCGTGCGAGCATCGACCAAAGCTTGAGAAGTCCAAGCCAATATGCCTCGCCACTGAGCAGAGTCGCTGCTCGTGTGAAATAAATATCAACAGGCTAGACCACATCGGACATGAACAAGCAGTATCAGTATCATTCATGAGGTCACGAACATCTCCTTGGCGGGTGTTGTTCAGTCCGATACAGATGGCCATGCTTATGGGCAAAAAGCAGAGGCGGCGGCATTGCATTAAGCCCCACCAAACCACAGCTAATGCGATGTATTGCGAGTTTTTCTGCCACCCAGGCTTCAGGTCCGTAACATACTCGCAGTGCAGTTTGTCGCCGCTTGCGCATGGCGGACTGCATGCCTGATAAGGTGCATTAGAAGACGTCCAGCGTTGCACCTGCAGCCGAAACGGCACCAAGCGTTTGCCTACCTTCTATCCAGAGTATGAGGTAGTTCGCGTGATTTAGCCTGCATGGCGAGTTGCGTGGAGACCGTCTTTGGATCCTAGTCAGGCTTTGGTTTGGGCATCTGGTCATTCAAAATCAGCAGCGTGGTTTTGGGGATTGGGTAAGGGTGCAGTGGTTGATGCCAGCATGAATCAACAGAGCTACCTGTGCGGTTACCGACTGAAGGAGTCCAAGCCCTGCCCCATTGAATACTGCAGCGCGAGCAAAAGCCCATGGGCCGAAAAGCCTTAAGACCGAAGTGGCATGTTCAGCGACCCGAGGAACCCGATGACTTCCTCAATCTGAACCTAACCGTATGTGCAACCGCACAGTCTTTGCAACTCCTGCCAACCTACCTGTCTTGCTGCCAGCCAGCCGTGTAGGCTTCGATCTCCGTGTAGTCGTGTCGTAGCATACTTCGGGCCTCTCCCAGTGCTTCGAAACGCCTCTGAGGCCGGCAGCCGTTCTTGCCGTTAGGTCCGTTAGGTCCTCTGCGATCAATTGTTGCTCCCTTCTTCTAAGCGGCCTATTTAGGTATTTAGACCACTTCCAGCCACTCTGCCAGGACGAGAATCGTTTCACCCACGCAGGCAGCTCTTCGAGCCGATTTTGTGGCATGGCTGCAGGGGTTCCTGAAGTCGGATTTCAACTTTTCACTGAGACCAAGGTCAGCCTGCATGGACGAGCCCCACACCTGCCTGCAAGTGCCTTCTCGGAGCAATCAAACCGTGAAGGCGGACAAGAGGCAACGAGCAGCGATACAAGTCCTAGCCGGGGCAGAGGTATTGCAGTTGCTTTTGCAGCAGGTCTTTGAGCGTGCTTCTTTGAATGGGGTGGCTGTCGAGTCCTTCTACCTTCAGCAGCAGATCCAGTGGGAGATGGACAAATACCCAAGTCCACATCTTTCACCAACAAGGACAGTGAGGAATCTGCACAAACTCCTTTCTCGCATGAGCTTGAAGCAAATGATTCAGTTTGTCCGGCGCAGCCCTTGTTGCGATCCCAGCTTCCTCGACGACGTGCAGAGACAGTTTTATTCCTTAAGGCCAGGGTTTACGACGAGTGACCTCAGTGGCCCAAGGCATGCCACGTCCGTATGGCTATAGTTTGCTGATGGCTGTAGCTCTTTCGGTCACTCAGGTGTTTTGATGCACCTTGCACCTGTCTCACCTGCACATTCAACTCCTAGGCCGCAGCTTAGAAGCCTGTGGATAGCCTGTGGTATGCACTCTGCCCCGCTGCCCCTTCTATGAGAGCAAGGGGAGCTGCTTTAACCAAGCGCTTAATGTGCGCAGTGTTTGGAGACTCGGACGGGTCTGGTGGAAGCGCTCCTTCTCCTGAATTAGAGAACTCAGTCCCTCGGCAGAAGACCTTCGAACGGGTCACCCGTTCGTTCTGGGGGCCATGCAAGGCCTTTGGATGCAGTTCCGCGAGTCTCCGAACAGTTGTTGTCCTGTCTGCAGTCTGCTGTATTGCCCTTTTGTTGCAGCCTCTGCTTTCGACGGTGCATCAAAATCTTCGGCTTGTCTGCCTTGACGTTCTCCCCGTTAATGCGACAGGTCCGATCACCCTGACATGCCCGCAGCCAGTCCTATGCCTTCGCTCTGCTTTGACTGCCCTGGGTCGAACATGTGAAGTTTTATAGACTGAAAAATGCACTCTCACAGAGTCGCGGTTGTTTAAAGAGGCAAATATGTTGCATGCATTAAACAAAAAAGCAAAAACTAAGGGTGCGTATATACATGTATGGTATATATGTATACATGTGTGTGTGTGTGCAAGTATATAGAGGGCACCGTAAATGCCACAAAGTTCTCGATCGCAAGTCCTCCAGACAATCACAAATTCTTGTTCTTTGATCAGAGTCAGAGGACTAGACTAGATTCGACTCTTGATCATGTGCAGCTGTTGCAAAGCATTCTCTGGACTTGCAGGAGCGGTCGAGCATGCAAGACCCAGCTAAAGTGGATCTTCGCACACACAGACAAACAAACAAACAAACAAGCAAAGATACACACAGACGCACAGACACACAGACAGGCACAGACAGACAGAGTCCGCACTGATACAGACACGGCCGCGTCCACATGTCGCACATGTCCACGTTTATGTAGGCATGTTTGTTGAGGGCATTTCCAAGTGTTGATGCATGCATGGGCTGCCACTTTCCCTTTTGCTCGATAGCTGTGTGTGTATGCAAGGAGATTCAGCAACTGCCCTGCTCTTCAACAACCACCACAGAAACAGGAACTGCCTCGGCTTCGGTCGTGCTCAGCACCACTGTAGTGCAGGCTCCTACATTGCCCACAGAGAAAACAAAACAGCCCGTCGATAGCAGCAGCATCTGAGAGAGCCACTGCAAGCTGGTAGGACTCATGAAGCATCGACGTTGTTTTCGCTGTTCGTGTAGACGCACAAGACCCGCAACACGGGGAAGCTGCCGTCGTGGCGCCTTGGCACCTCGGACGAGGGAGTTCCGTAGTTACTAGTAGTATTAGCAAAGTAGCAATCCAAACACCAAAACATCAAGACGATGCTTCTGCAGGGATATCATGATAGCGCTTGCGTGAGAAGAATCCTTCCCTCGTCCTCCCTGTCGTGCATGGCAGTAAGAAGGGCGAAGGTCGGCAAATGTCGGGAGGGGGTGGTCCCTAAGGCGAGAAGCCAGATGCGCGGTTCTTCTATCGTGGCTTTCTTGCAGCAGGCTGAGGCCGATGGGAAATCTTGAGCAGTTCTTGTCTGCATTCGTGACCCCACAGCAGCTACGGTGGATCCTTCCAGCTGCGCAGCAAAAGCCCCCGAGGACACTCGAGAAAGTTGGGCATTGAGCAGACATGGCTTGACTGATTCGAACGATTTTTTTGCACTTTATTTTGGGGACCCATGGCCAGCTCTGGATGGGCGCATCCTTCAGGAAGATCTTTCGTGCTTGCCTGGGTGTGTTTCAGTGTGATTCAGAGGAAGACATTGTAGGCTGCATAGGCTGCCAGCGACTTGACAAGGGTTGAGAGGCAGCAGAATTCAGTGTCATTCAGATATGGCTGTTTGCACAGCTCTCCACAAGAGCCCCTACCCAAGAGTCCCGTGTTGAGACTAAGAGTCCCCGCAAACTCTCTACTTCTGGGCAGTGCCTGTGCTAGGCAAACTTGGCGCTCATCAGCTCGCAGCTCGAGGCAGGGGAAGAGCGATGCAAAGCACGGTACAAAGATAGGAAGGTTAAGAACACAGATAATGGGAATGAGTATATCGGAGATGGTAGGAATCGCATGAATACTACGAGATGAGAAACTGTGATTGTTGCACACCAGGATGGCTCGAATGGACGAGGCACTGACCGGTATGGGTGCTGAGAGCAGAGAAGTTTTGAAGGGCCTTCCCAAGCTGACGAAGTTTTAGGTCTTTGATTCCTTTCGTGTCACGACCCCACACAGGTCATTATGTATGTAAAGACGTAAATTCATAGTTCCTATACGTACATATACACACACACATATATATATATATATGCAACTAACTACATATGTATATATATATATACATACATACATATATATATATAGGTAACTATATACATGTGTGTATATAGATAGATAGATAGATAGATAGATAGAATAGATAGATAGATAGATAGAGAGAGAGAGAGAGAGAGAGATAGATAGATAGCACAGGCCTGAGCCGCATTCGACGCCGTTGCGCTGCCGACTCAGCCATTTTGTGGTACTAAGGAGGAAGCAGATTCAACAAAGTCGTCCTGGAGATATCGAAACTCCACCCTGCGCCCCTATCCGTTTGCTTGTTCATGTCTCCAGTATTTTGGAAGTTTCATGAAGCCTTGGAGATCTAGCTGCCCTGCGGGGGTGATAAAGCGCCCGCTGAGATGACATCCTCAATGAACATAGGACTGAGTGCTGGAATTGTGATACCCATAGGCTCGATGCAAGGGCTCGCGAGAACTCAAACCGCCACATGTATACAGCCATCTGGCAAGTTAGTCTGGCGGCAGCCAGCGCAAATTCAGATATCATGACCTGAATGGCCCCGCACTCGCAATTGATGTGGGGTGGGCCTCGTACTGCACTTGAGAGTTGCATCATCTGCTTGGCTTACTATTTACGCACCGTATGTGTGACCTCGTGTATCTTGCAGAGAATGCTGTTTTGACGGTTCCTCTCGAGGCCAAGCCGAGCTCCAATTCGGAGGCAGAGCAGGAACGGCTGGGGCTTCAAAAGAGTGGGTTCGACCAGTGGTGCCAGGCGGTTGAGGATTCCACCGTTTGAGACCATTTCGGGTCGCGACTGCTAGTGGTTCCCTTTCTCGATGCACCATAAAGCCAGCAGATGCCCCAAGGGAAAGCTGAATCAGTCCCGTTTCACAGGATGTCAAAGAGTTTGAGACGGAGGCCTCAGCAAAGTTCGGGCACGGCCAAGCATCCGTTCGAATGCTCGGGAGAGCTCTGGAGCTCCTGAACATCCCCCTTGCACCTCTTGCGGAGGTCAAAGAGCAACTTGCCGTCCATGCCCGAACCTTGCTTGGCCCGGGGCCTGCGCTGTTCCGAAATCCAGCGTTGCATAGTCTGCATAGTCCATGTAGCTGGATCTCATCACATAGGACATGGCCGGTGGACACAAGACTAGATGCCCCTGCAGAATGACATGTGCATGGCCTTCATCAGAAATCGAAGGATGTCGCATGCTGCTGATACCGGTCCCTAAATTCTACGAGGCTTCGAGCGGCGCCTGCAAAAGCTGGAGCACGCACAAAGCGACGACCTCGGACAGCCATTAAACATCCACGCATCCCAGATCTAGTGCCATCTCTGCGGTCTCTCGCGGTCTTCGGATTGCCCGTAGCAGGAGCAGATTCAGATGAGCATATCTTCTTTGGCCCAGGGGTGCGCAGTGCCTGCAATCGAAGCCTTTTGGCTCAAACTGAACGAAGCGCGGGAGCCCGGTGGCCTATTTGCCTTGCGATGATGTCAAGGCAGGGACGTTGGCCATCATGCCACTTGGGATGATTACCAGATTACATCGTGAGATGTTAGTACTATAACATTAAGGCTGTGTGTGCGAGGACGAGTGTCTTCTCTTCTTAGAAATGTCGTGATAATGATGTCGATGCTTTTGATGGCGAGGGCCAGTGTCGTCCTTGTGCTGCTCTGTGATGATTGCAGTGGAGCACTCTTGTCGTTTTCGCTCTGAATCGAGTTTTCGCAGCAGCGTTATGGTTTCCACCAAGAGATCAGGTGTGCGGCTTTTTTTCGGATGCAGGATCAGGTGGAAGTCTAAAGCGGCCGCAGACCTATGACTCCTGTGACTGCAAGCTGTTAGTAGAGTGTGTGCACGGAATCGAGGTCAACATATTTTCTACTCGCTACTCCTGGTGTAGTAACGGCCATGGGCCGCTAGGAAAGTGGGAAAGGTAGCACGGGCTTTGCAAGTGCAGTGGTGACGATGTTGGATAACCGGGACGCGTGTAGGCGAGCCGAGGTCCGTCAGCACAACCTTTATTGGACGACCACCCCGAAGACACCACTACACATGGGACGCATGCACGCATGATTAAAGTCTTACAGTGTGTCTGTGTGTGTGTCTGTGCACACACAGACGGTGATTCGTTGGTGAGTTCTTCCGACCAGGCTCCTGCTGGCCTTATGTTGCAGTGCTCTGGCTGCTGATGTCGAGAAGCATCAGGCATCCGCTGGAGTGCCGTAAATTTGCGGCATGGCATTGACGTGTCACACGTTCATCTTTGCTTTCCTGGGTCCGGGTCAGAGGCCCTTAGCGCGGTGAAAGCGCATGCCCCGGATAAGGAGGCTGGCGAGGCGGGGGTGCACTGATTTGAAGACTGCCAGAAAGACCGGCGACAGAGGTGAAGGCGGTGAAGGCACCGATGCCATTCGGCGACCTCGAACCCTTTGGCCGGCAAAACGCTGGTCAGGACAGGGGCCATGTGCGTTCAATTTGGAGGGAGCGGCTACGCGCATAGCGAGTGAAGCCGGTGGCGGACATTTCGGCATGTATACTGTAGCAAACACGGTGGGCAGCAGACCACCACTTGGCGCATCGCCAGACTCGCCAGCTGGTCAGGTCAAGCGCTGTCTGAGCAGTCACAATACGTCAAGTTGTCACACAACTCTAAAAGATGCTCTGCCCCACCTCTGCAAGGATCTGACCGAGTCTGCCATTTCAGAAACAAACGAAATGGCCAAGCTCTCAGCAAGGGAAGCGCAGAAATGCTCCAGAAATGGCCGCTTTTCTCGCATAGGTTGGAAGGGCTAGGCCCGGCATCATGAATGCCATAGCCTTCTCTACCCTTCTCTCTCCTCTTGTGATGGTTTGCATCATTTAGCTCTCTGTGTAAACGATAATGCGAGTCCAAAGCTCGGACCCCGAACTCAAAGACCCCGGCGCGAGCTCAGCGCAAGGTGGGTCAGCTCGAGCGGGCAGAGGTGGCAGAGGAGAGGGCTCCAAGCTTTTACCAGCTCCGGCCCACATGAGCCCAACCCTGCTATTTCACAGAAGTTTTCACAGTCGTGAGAGCACTCTTTCTTGCGACAGATTTGGCTCTGTCGGGAAGGAAAAGAGGAGTGCATTTCGGGCACTGACGCGGCTGCGAGGCCAAGTTCCGGAGATTTAACGCTGGAAGCTTGTCCCCTCTGCGCTCGTTTTTGAACTTCAGGCTGGGGACTTGTTAGATTGTTGCGAGGCCGAACACTGCATAGATTGATGTCCGTGATACTCTTCATATCTTCGAGACTGATGCTTGTGTCTCGCAACGAAGATACATAATTGTTCATCGTCCTTTAGCTGTTTGCAGTGCTTTTCACGCTCCGCACACTTGTCGAAATGAGTGCTCTTTGTGACGAGGGCCTTATGTTTTCAGCAACCTTGAAACCGGGACCCTAATGTAAGCCACAACGTAGAACCCCGAACGCAAAGAACCACTGCACATCCTCTCCGCGACACATGATACATCGTTAATCGCAAACGGCCCTTGAAGAACTGGAGATCCGCTCCTGCTCAAACCCAATGTTCTCACCGCGAAGCCCTGCGCTCCTTGCTCTTAAAAGCCTGGGGCTGCTTCAAAAGGTGTGGCCTTGGCCTCCTTTGATGGAATTGCTCGGAATCTTGGCAGCCCTGGTGCTTGAAATGCTGTCAGCGCACGAGTAAAGGCTTAGCCATCCTCCGCTTCGTGGAGAATGGTGCGGTTGAACACCTGAACACTTCTTTGGCCCGCAATGGAAATGGAGCAATCAATACAATGTGATCAAGTGTGTTTTGGATACATGAAATCTTGGCGGGCATGAAGTTGCCGGTGCTGCTTGCTAGCTTTTCGTGGTCGTCCTGTGCCGCATGAGACTGTCGCAAGATGTCGCAAGGGCCCAGACCGGCAACATCAAGGCCTGACTTCGTGGTGTGTGCAGCGAGGGCAGCGAAGTGTCCGGAAGCGTACAGCGATATTCATATAGTCAAGAAGATTAAGTGCAATCTGCCGCCACCATTTGAGCATCCTCTTGCAGGACTACACGCAGGCTCACCAATGGCGCAAGGAGCACCCTTTTCTGATGCAAAGTGATTGCCGTATGTCTAGAGGCTGTTTAAGCATGTCACTTACCGACACGCAGCAGTATCTGGAGCACAAGCCCACAGGAACTACTGGCACAAGCCCGCAGAAGCGATTGGCACAAACAGCTAGACAAGCCGCTGGAAACCACTGGCAAAAGTCCCTGGAAATCAAAAAATCCTCATGCAGAAACCCTAAACAAGTCTCTGGCAAAAGATGCAAAATTATGCTCTGGCGCAGGCGCAGGCAGGATGAGTACTCCTTGATGTTGGAGTGGCGCAAGCTCTGTCTGCAAGCTGTTCGCGAGCTAAGACGGCTAAGACTGTAGCTCCACTTAGGCATCAGTGGCTCCAGGTAGAGGACATGTTCACCCCGAGGCGATTATGGAACAGGAACTGTTGCCATGTCCAGTCTCCGTTCTCTCTGTCCGCTCGACGACGTGGCAACAGTACCTGTTCCATAACCTGGAGCCACTGATGCCTAAGTGGAGCTACAGTCTTCGCTCGCGAACAGCTTGCTGAGCCGGTTCGCAGCAGCGCCTTGTGCCAGCCCAAAGTCAAGGAGTATACTTGGACGGTGGCATCAGGCCTGTCCCAAGTGTGCGAAAGAGTGCGGGAGGAGTGCCGATCCCAAGATGCTGTGGTCGCCACCGATTGCCCTAACATCCGTCCCGCACACCTCCTGGTTTCATAAGAGTGGATCAAGGTTGGTTACTCGACTATGACTATGAGAAGCTGTCCTTTTGCGCTCTACGCAGCAGACTCTAGAAGTACAACAAGTTTTGACACAAAGACAGTAGCTTTGACCACCCATGAAATGGGAATGGTCCATGATATGAGCATGCCGACTGTAGCCACCCCTGCAGCTTTCCAAACGGCGTCACCTCAACGTCCTTCAGAACATAAACAAACTGCTCAAGCCTGTTTGCGTCTGCCTGTCTTGCACGTCTGCACAGTAGTCACAGCCATCGAGCCAAAAAACACAGCCTTCTCTGCGCAGCAGTCTTGCGCAAGCTGTTTTGAGACTGACATGTAGGTAAAGTTCGTGGCTTCGTTCCTCTAAACCTCGACCCGACAAGTGCAGTCTAGGCCTTTGCTCCGACCTGACAGGAGCACCCATTGCATCACCTTGCAGAAGAGGAAAGCGAGCCTTGGATCCTTCAGCGCCACCGTGTCTCAGTTCGGATTTCAGGCTGGGGGTTCAGCCAGCTCATGCAGTTGAAAATAATCGGGAACTTCAAACCAAGGACGCCGGAAAGTGGGCCTTTCCTGCCAGTGCTGATTTCTGAGCGAAAGCTTGGATAGCCGGCCGTGGCGGCCGCACGTTCGATGATCTGCCCTGCTGGATCACGGTTGAAGACTCGATAAGGGCCCCTTTCAACGGACGTTTGTGTCGAGCAGCCCCGCCCATTTTCGGCCAAAAAAGCGCTTCCAGACTTCGGCATTGTGCGGGGAGGCAGAGCTGTGGGTTGATCTTGTTGGTATTCTGCTTGCGTCCGCAAGCCTCTGAGGCGTCCGAACAGAGCAGGAGTCGGCAGATGAGGCGCTGCGCATTGCTGCCTGCAGTGTAGGGGCCGCGTCCAGGACCATGAGGTCTTCAGCAATGAATGAGGTACCAACTTGTTCAGCCTTTTCCAACCGGTTGAATTTTCCTGAATTCAACTAGAGCTCGATGACACAAAGGTAAGTGCATGTGGCAGCGGCATGGTGGACAAAACCTGGCTCAAGAGATTCCCACGTCTTGGGATGCATAGTATAACATGATTCATGCATCCCCGCCCTCTCAGAAGTGTCGACAATGCGGCCGTCGGCTGCCAGGCAGACTTCGCAGCCCTTTGCATGTCACTCACCCAACCCCTCCTGTGACATGGAACATTCTGAGAAGGGTTTCAGGTTTTCATACCTCTACACCTGCATTTTAAAGGAGACCAAAGCCACCGGAAGGCCAACTGTGTTTTGACTTCACCTCGTTTCTGTCGCGCACCAAGCCGCGCGGCGCTGGCAAGATGGCGCCTTTGCAGCAGCTGTTCCAGAGCCCTGCCCTCGGCATCGCTTATTTGTCAAAGACTCTGCGAAGCCTTCGGGTGCTGATCATGATCTGATGAATTAGCCAACGAGGCCCTAGCTCCATACTTGCCGTATCTCCCGGCTGGGAAGGGATCCCCGGTCTCGGAACGGTCAGCGAACGGTAGGATTCTATTTCCGAAGGAGAGGAATCGGCAGCATAGATTATTCGGAAAAGCGATGGTGTTGATTGCTCAGTTTCTTAACTCTTGAGGGCATGTTGACGGTGGTAGTGAGTGAGGATGACCCGAATTGTGGCTGCTGCTGCTGCTGCTGCTGATGATGGCCATGATCAGGATCATGGTCATTGATGGCCATGGTGATCATGATCATGATTTTCGTGATCATACTGGTGCTGATGCTGATGCTTCTGCTGGAGAGGATGATGTTGCCGTTGCTGCTGCTGATGACGGTGATGATTATGGTGATGGTGACAACGGTGACGGTGACGGTTGCGGTGGTTGTGGTGGTGGTGATCGTGGTGGTCGTGGCGCTGGTGCTGGTGCTGGTGCTGGCAGTATGAAGGAAACGGAGAAGATTCTGCCGCTGGTGGTGATAATGTTTGTGGTGCTTATTGTACCAATGGCGGTGATTGCTGATGCTGAAGCTTCAACAGCAGTATTCGACATATGATGTTGTTCTTCCAGCCAGGTGCCGACCACTCCTGGCTCAGACAGTTGCAGCCGGATCCGGAGACGGAATCCCTGGCACTAAAAGCCTTCAAGATATTGACGAGCAATGCAAGTAGGAGAGTGGCGGGGATCAGTGAAGTCGCACTTCATCCAGTCCTGACCGTAAGCCGTAAGCGTGCCTGACTGTTTCAAGCGGCGTTCGAGCCTGGAGATCTCCGGTCCCGCACCTCGCTTGAAGAGCCAAGGATAAGTACCAGCCCAACAAGCGCAGCCGCCAGGTGAAATCAGGCCGGTATTGCACTCCTTTGCATAGCGTGCTGTAGATAGCGGCTGAAAGCTTAAGTTGAGAGCTTCACGGTGTAATTGGGGCCCGGGCACCGCCCCCGGGCACCGATCTGACCTGTCTGTAGGCCACTATGTTCGAGTGGCCCCAACGCCGCTCCCGGAGCCTAAGTTGATCATCTACTCGGCCGCCATGGCTGAGGACGGGTGCCATTAGCTGGGCGACGTGGGAGGTGCCCGTCGCGCGTCCTGTGCATCCGAGGCGCTGGGCATCCCGGAAGAGGATTGCAGCACCAAGGACTTTCGCTATAGGTGATTCCAAGTTCATGTCAAACAACCCTGAATGTTGACCTTCACAATTTCAAACAAAACCAGTTGGTGAACGTGGCTGGAAGAGGAGTTTGCTGCATTCTTCTCCGGCCAGCAGCAGATCTCGGGAGGGAAGCTGGAGTCATGGTGCCCTGGAGCAAGGACGAAGACGCTTGCGGGCTGCGCACTTTGCTGCATCCGTCGGGTAGGTCCACAGAAGCTCGAGAAGAGTTGAAGCAGTCCAGACATCAGGTGTACGCCATATGCGCTGTCCATCATGGGGCAGCCTATGGTACGAAACTGCCCATTCGGCAATGGCAACGGGCGGCTTGGCTCAGCATCTTTGTCTCTGCCGGATTGCTGGTCTGGTTGAGAAACGAATAGCCAGGTATGGCGATGGCCGGGCCATTTCCGTCGGCATCCTGGCTGTGGTTTCTAACAGGAATCCTCCCATTCCACCGTAGAAGACGATGCGGCATATTATGAAAAAGCGGGACGCAGTGCTGGCTTTATGACTTGGTGCGGCCTGATCTAAGGAGAGGTAATGGTGAAAGGCCAGCGCTGGGAGATGCAGCTGAAGGTGAAACGACAGTTGTCAGGGTCTATTGCTATATGTAAGCCATTAGAATAGACGACATTCAGACCTATGCAACAGAGACATGATGAGACATGCGTGCATACATACATAACACACACATACATACATATATATATATATATATGCACACACACCTTCACAAACGCGTTAGTCGCCGACGCACAAGTACGCAGCAGCAGCAGCAGCAGCAGCAGCAGCATCAGCAGCAGCAGTAGCAGTAGTAGCAGTAGCAATAGCAGTAAAAGTAGAAGTAGCAGCAGCAGTAGCAGTAGCCGTAGCAGTGGAAGAATTGCCGAAAGCAGTGCGTGAGCGGTGTTGTTGTTCAGGGCCCAGAACTGGGGAGTTTGCATCGCATCACAACAGCAGACGAGAGTAATCGCTGTTTGCTTTGCAGCTCACTGTGGGTGCCGGAAGCTGTCAAGCACGAAGTCAATAGCCAGGGTGGTGGGCAGACTCCATTCTGCCGTGGCGCGGATGGCCGTGCAGTGCTGCGGTCTTCGATTCGCGAGTTCCTGGCATCGGAGGCTAGCATCGACAATCGCCGGTGCCACCATTCGCAGACTGTTTTGTGTTCCTCATTGGTTCTCTATGTTGAGGAGTTCGATCGCGGATAACCGGAATTCTGATGGTTGCAAGTCCACGGATAGCAAAGCCGGTTGTGTGCTGGGGCATCAATGTCAAAGTATACCAACATGCAGCACTGCAGCAACAGTTGCGCAGATTTTGCAAGGTCGTGAAGTCTGATTCCCTGAACAGCTAACCCTCAACCGTGTATCCTCCAGGCAATGTATCATCTTGGAGTAGACACCACCCGTGCTCTTTCCTTGGTGGTCTCCGACGGCGGCGAAATGGCCGAACGGCCCTGGCAGCTGGTTACCGCAATACGGCAAGACATCATTGGTACGGAGGCAGCTGAGGCAAAACCAGCACACTGCACTCGTTGAGGCAGCCCCAGCCCTGCAACGTCACGACCAAGGTATTCCAGCCAGAATCGCGATTCGGATCCAGCCGCTTCGATGATGAGAAAGAGACCACTAGCCTATCCCCCGGATGTGGATTCAGACTGCTCCGATCCCAGGACATGATGATCCATGAGCCCTGCGCGATCACGACGCGTGTGGCGCCAAGCTTTCTGCGAGTCGGCCACGTCGACCTTTTCGCCAGGAGAGCTGCTGTTGAGTTTAATAGGGATTTCTGCTGGAATGTCCGGGTGGCTCCAGGCTGTGCCGAGCTGACTACGGCCCCAAGAAACCTGACTTTGGCCCAGCCAAAGTAAGATAGCAGGATGAGTCCAAAGAGCCCCTCACCAAGCGACCTCCCATCATCCTCAAGGCCTTCCACCGTCCACCCTGATAGAACACTTGTGGAAGCGGGCGGATAGGCTGCCGTGTTACTTTTTTTTATCGGTTTTCTTGCATTTTCAGGACCTTTCGGACTAATTATTCCATGGGGTTATGTAGGGTGGTGTGGGGGGTTGGGGAGGAGGCACAATCACATCGGTTCTGACGGCGACCATGCCCAAACTGCTGGTATGTACAGCGTTTTCCAATTAACGCAACATACTGCAGAAGGATGGTCGATTCAAGAATCACTGCCAGAAGCGTTTAGAGCAAAGCACTGGTATTGACAGCGTTTCGCCACTGTCTACAATGTACTGCAAAAGGGCGTTTAACATTTCCGGCATAAGGTGCAAATTCAAAGCGTTGATGCCTTCTGCGAGCATGCCCAAAGCACCTGTGTTTCTGGCGTCTTGCCCCTTTGCACAGCAGAGTGCACAACGATATCGTGATGGCGATGATGAAGACGATGCTGATCACCACAAATCTGATATTATCTGAATGAAGTTGCAATAGCTTCCGGCAGCTGCGACAACCCTGTTCATCTGAAAATCGTGCCAAACCCCGGGTCTCCTTCCTCTGGTAAGAATCCGATCCAACGTACTACTATGCGCCCCCATACTCGCCCCATGCCCTTCATAGACACGATCAGGAGGGCCTCCCATTCCTCGGCTCCTCGGCGTAAGAGGGGCTTCGAGTCCGAGATTCCCGAAGATGAGAGTTTAGGGTATAGAGGGCTCCTATAAGGCTTCTATAAGGTAGTCTATGGCTCCTATAAGGCTTCTGTAAGGTATTCGATGGGTCTTTGAGTGAGAAGCTGCCTAAAAACGCGGAATTTGCGGCCTCGTGATCTGTGGAGCCGGCGCTTTGCCAACGCTTGAACCGCCTCTGCGCCTTCTCGATCTGTCCTAGGCGACGCCTGCGCAGATCAAGGCAGGGAGTGATATACTATGCAAGTATCTATATCTATCTATCTATCTATCTATTTATTTATATGTATATATATATATACATATATATATATGTACATACAAATTGAAGTCATAGACTCATAGACAAAAAGATATGCAGACACATATGTCTGTAGATATAAGATGCACACATTGTGCACGATGCTCTTGTGATATCTGTGATTCGTTCCAGGGAGCTGCAGACCGAAATCGCGAGGGTCGAGTCCCAAACCATGATCAGCTCGAACCCTAGTTTCCACGAGCCCTAAGTGCCGTAGATGACCCCCAGATTACCCTAAACCCCAAAGCTAAAAGCTTCAACCATCGTGCTGCTGAGCACCTCAGGAGCATGAGCTGATCGTGGAGCATGCGCTCTTCCGCGAGTATCCGGCAGCTTGGCTAGAGGGTATTGGAAAAAGTCGGACTCCACTCAAGGCACCTCTTGTCGTACTGGGAGTTCATGGTCGTTTTTGGTGGTATCGAGTCCAAACAGGGACTGTGACGTGTCCAAAAGCCCTGCAGCCTGGTGAGGGTTACTGCAGGGGTAATGCAAAAGTTGCTATATGTACGGTAGAAGTTGATTGCTTTAGAAAGATCCCAGAACTGCCTTCCTGGATCTCCCCTGCCGGCGAGAGCGGCGGCGATGCTTCGCGAGGTGCGTCACTCGGGGGGTCAGGCTTTAAGGGTTTACGGTTTAGGATTCAGGGCTTCTTCCTATGTGAGTCGTTGGGTGTAGGACCTGATAGTTTTAGCCTTTGAAAAGAGCGCCATCAGATTCTGCTCGGATTGCAAGAGCCTCTCAGTCAAGTGCGTGGGCGAGCACCAGCGCAATGTTTGTGACCTCGCGCAGCGTCTGCAGGCAGCAAAGCGCTTCAGCGTGCTGACACTTGGCATCTGCATGACAGTCTTCGGACATAGGTGCAGTGATGCCATATAGTCACCAAGCAGTTTCAACGCAGCTTTGCGGTTTACCTTGCGACTGTGCTGCAGTGCCGCTGAGTCCTCAAGACACTCCTCGAAACCGAGCTGAGGATTGCCGGATGGTTGCGGGTGGGTTTCTGCCAGGGCAACTTCAACGCTGACAACTGCTTGGTCGGTGACTCCATTGCAAGCTCATGAGGGAACGAGTGTAATGACTTGTTCTGAGTATTGGCATTGAACTATCTTTGGCTGTCGTATGCTGGTAGGTATCCTTCTGTTTTCTCTGACCTCCAAAAACACCTTAAACACATTTTTTGCCCTTCCTCTGCAGAAGCGCAGCGGATGGACCATTGCCGTGAAATCAGAGCAGATGAGCAATTACGCGACCATCCTCTGCTCCAAAATGCCAGTCTCACTCGGATATGTTAGCAAGGACCACCCCGAACTGTGGCAGCTGCTTTGTTGACTGATGCCATTTGTCGCAAACTGCCCTAATGACGATCGGATGTTACCTACTTGCAGGCTGGTAGGCAGGAAAGGTCGCCCCCCGCCCCCCCACACTTTAAGAAAGAAGACAGGGCCCAAGCGCAAATCATCGGGTGCCTTGTTAGGCGGCCGGACGATGGACTACGGACGCTTTGCTGGCACTTCGTTTGGGTTGCATGACCAAGCATCTTGCTCCGTGGTTCGTTACCCAGAAGACATGTGAAGTGATTCTGCTTGAGCTGAACGCGGCAGTGTTGAAAGGGCACACTACTCCCAGTCTACAGATTTCGTCTTGCAAGGCCCCTTCGGCTGGATCGAACGCCGCTTGAAAGCCTTCGGTTCAGGTGTAGGATGTGGATGTAGGAAGGTTTAGGACGGCTTCTTGCCCTGGGCATTGAGCCTCAACACCTGCTTGGCCGCCATCTTCTCTGGGGTGAGATGCTGTATGAAGGTTTTGTGCGGTGGTCGAAAAGTCGCGGGAAGAAGCTTGCAGCACTTTTCAGTTCAAGTCATGTTCACAGGCTGCTTTAGCTGTGTTGGCAAGAGAGGCTACGACCCTATGTTCGCGAAATGGGTGGGCTCGGGCAATCACTTTGCCTTCAGGACGCTGGTCCTGCATTTGTCAAGCACTAGCACAGAAGAGCGTCCTTGTTTCTGTGTACGCCTCTTTTCGGCCAGGAATCAGCCCGAAGCTGGATTGGCGAACTTCATGACCCTCGCCATCGCAATGAAGCCGCTTTTGGGGAAGGATGCCCCGCTGCTCGGCTGCAGCGTCCGCGGCTCCAGATATTCGTCGCGGAAAGAGCTTGCGAGAGATCTCGCCTCAAAGGCATGGGAGTCGTGCTCCCGCATAGAACACACAAGCAAGTAAAGGAGCGAGAGCGAGAGAGAGCTGCAACCTACCCCAGTAGCTACCTCGCTTTCCCAAAGCTGACCCATTACTGTTGGGGAAACCAGCGCATGTTTGCAGAGAGGAGCCGGTGTCTTAGTCACACATTTCCTCCAATGCATCACCCATGACACGCATGGGTGGGCCTTTCTGCCCGAGGAACTTCGTACGTTCCGCTTGCCCGCGAGAGAGAGAGAGAGAGAGAGAGAGAGAGAGAGGGAGATCTTCCGTAGCCATTTTGGCTCAAGTCGACCTGCCGCTCCGCTTTGGGGGGCGCCTGAGGCCGGCCCTTTGGGGTAGCTGGCTGTTCCCAGCTTCCCCACTGGGTGGACGAGCCTCCAGGCGGGGGAAGGCTTGAGCCACACGCCGTCGCCACTTCGCTCCAGTGGGTTGTCGGGGGGTGGTTAGGACGTGCCATATTCCAGAAGGTAAAGTCCGTGACACCTACAACCTCGACCGCGACCTAGCAAAAGCAAGTTCTACTCCTTTGCAGCACCGGCGGAGGAGGGGACACAGCTCTTCACCGTGGAGTCCATACTGTCCGTGGGGACGTCGCTCCTGACCTACCTGCCCGTGCGGGTGGGGGAGAACTTGACCTCAAAGTTCGTGACTTGGGCACCGACCGCGAGATAGTGACGTGTGCCATGGAGGGGACATGTAGGCTCTGCAGATATGCAGAGGGGACGTGCACCATCGGGATGCGGAAGATTCACGACCGCACGGACCCGGCCTGCAGGCTGCATGGAGTCGCTGTGAAAGCTACCACACCTTTTCGGGAAAGCACCAGAAGCCCTCCTAGAGGGGGAGACCGGACAGCCGTGGTTCGGGGGAATGCCTCAGCCACACAAGCCACACGCCAAACAACACGGGGGACTACCTCAACAAGGCCCTTGGCGGAACTGACAGGGTTCCGGACGCGCAAAGGGGTGGTCCTGCTGTACGAACCAGACCTGCTCGATGCGTGGATTGGGAGAAGAGTCGAGCAACAGCCTGGGGGAGCTCTCGTCCACGCAGAGGCCGGGGGAGCTCTCACCAAGAAGGAGACCATGCAGTATACAGCTTATTGCCGACGACATGCAGCGAGAAACGAGGAGGCAAGACAAGCTGACAAACTTTTCCACATAGTGGATAAGTACCTCCCGCTACAAGCCGATGAGACTCGGGCCTACATTGCACGTTTCCCGGGCAAAGTCTGGAAACTCCTGCCCAAAGTCAGGAAAATCCGGAATGCCTTGCGACAACAAGGGGGACCTGGCGCGGCAATGGAACCTGGACAAGCCATGCAGGGGGGAGAAGAGCACCCACGCCGAGATGAAGAAGCAGGGGAAGGACTACCAGTTCCAGTCCCGGATGCGTGGGGGAGCACTGCTGCAACAGAGCCTGTGAGAATAGAGAGCCAAGGGGATGACGGATCCCGTGGGACAAGGGAACAGCCTGCAGACGATGACACCCCACCAGGTTGGGGGGGCGAAACCGACGAAGACGACGCACTGACCAGCTGGCCTTGGGGAGAAAGTGGACGCCCATCCGACCGTGGGCAAAGCGAGGGGATCCTCGCGGAACGACCCAGTGAACCCTCTGGGTTGGCCCGGCAACCACAAGCAGACCTCAGTGAAGAAGGCCGGGGAATACAGCTGATCCCAAACCGCATGTGGCAAAACGTGAGGACAGTGCAGGCCCACATGGAGCAAGCTCGAAGGCAGAGGAGACCACCCCAATGACGGGGGATCTCCCTCGTTGCCCTCGATGATGCCGAGGGGAACAGTGACTGAGACAGTGCGACGCAGTGACGGGGGATTTTCCTCCTTTCTCTTCAATTGGCGGGGCGAAGAACACCGCTTGTGCATGCCGACCCGCATGGAAAAGTTCGCTCTCTTGCACTACTGAGGGAGGACCGTTGCCCTAGGGGGATTTCCTGAGCTGATCGGACAATCCGAGTCTGCAAGCCAAACTTTAGGTGTGAACTCTTTAAAAAAGCATGCAAATGCTTTCTCAGGCAAACTCCATTCCCTGGCCCACTTTGGCCCTTTAATACCGGGTTCTTTTTAACACAGCTGTACAATCCGTTCCCTCCCTAGAACGAATTCGGGGGACAAACCAGGGCTTCAATTAGCACCTCTCAAGCCGTGACGTTCCATGTAGTATGCATGTTTTTGCCCTGGCCCCCCTCTTGTACCCCACAATGTGGAAGCAAGTTCGTGCCTTCAGCCGTTACATCCAAACTGTTACGTTTGCCGGGGCCTTGGCAGTTGTCGTGTATGGTTGCAGTCTTGTGTGGGTGCACTTGCTCGAACAGCCACTGTATAGCCGAGCCTTGGGGGGGCAACCCCCCCAGAGGAACCGCTTTCCGGCAAAGACCCGCAGCTGCGCGCTCGCGTGCGGGGGGAGGGGCCTGGACGCTGCCCTGACCCCCATGGCTGGTAGAGAGAGAGAGAGAGGGAGATCTTTTACCCGACGAGCTCCGAAAGCCTCCTTTTCGCCTAATTGGCAGAACACACCAAGCCTCGGGGAATACCCGCGGTGGATAGCCTTCTCCAGGTGCCCTTGTGTATTTCTTGGTTCGCGTTTTTCGGGGTGCCTTTTTCCATTTGTGTTAGTGCGAATGCTACGGCAGAGGAAGTAGCCTTAATGTTGTTCGCCGCTTCTGCACATCGCTCCGCAACAGTCGAGGGCGCTGACGCGCGCGGGTAACGGGGGTCTTTCCCTTGCCTCCAGCCCTGGCGAAAGAAAGATCTTCGAAAAGTACAAGGTCCGGGCTGGGTCCACGACAGCAGCATTCCTACCGTTTCTTCCGACCGATGGAGCGAAATCCGCAGCCCTCTCCTTGCAGAACCAAACAGGGAGGGGGGCGCGGGTCAGCGCTGCTGACTTGAACCCAACGGAAGGAAGGAAGGAAGGAAGAGATCTTCGAACTTGCATTCATGGTAGAGTGAGGGGCCACCGCTACCTTGCTCCAGAGCCGGCAGCAAGCAAGCAAGCAAGGTGCTTCGGTCAATTTTATATGATTGTGTCACTGAGAGAACTTCTTGGGATTGTGAAGACGGCGAGCATCGGCTAGGTAAGAAGTTTCTAGAGTCTGCTAGAGGTGCAGCCGAACTGGTATTCCAGCGCCTGCGAACTAGCCTGGGGCTTGCTGTTCTATCCCACACTCTTCCTGTGGCCGATACTTCTGCCAACCTCTCCTGCACGGAGGTGGAAAGCTTTCTGCTAAGGGGAGGTTTGCTCAGGAGCTGACTTGGCTGACCCAGCCGATTTGGTAGGCTCCTGCACAACGTGGCACCCAAACTTCAAGCTGCCCAAACTTGCACAAGGGGAAGGGCTCCAAACCACGCCTTAGAGCCGAAGACACCTCGCGACCAGAGGCGAAGCATGCCTGCTCCTTCTCCAGCTTGATCGAAGAACCGAGAATCAAGGGCTGGGCTGTTGGGGGAAACCATGCGAAACCCGCCACGCTACACATCCATGCTGCGGCCGCTGTGAAAACCGGCGCTCGTCGGATGTCATTGAGTTCTCAGCGCATTCCACACCGATTCACAAGAGTCTTTGAACCGAAACTCGTGGCTTCTTTCCGAAGGTCTATCCTGCAGGAGATTGCTGAGGCAGCGCAGGAGGAGACGAGGGACTTTGCAGACGAAGGCATGCCGCGTCAGATGACATCTAGATCACTGGCTATGAGTAGCCTATTGATCGAAGTCGCTTCAGGGCGGAGTTTTGGTCATTGTCGAGTGCTGGAAGTTTTAGCAAACAGGAGATGAACTCCACCGTGTCGGCGATGTGGCGGGCCAAGCTGGGCTTTCCCAGTGTCAGCGGCGATGCTGCAAAAGTGGCCGACAGCCTCTGGGCCGACGTGCAGGTCCACGGGCCAGGGCCTAGAATCCTAGAAGCTGTCGCACGTAGAGGCCAAGCAGTCACATCATTTCTTACACACCTCAGCTGGCTGAAGCACGCCTGAAAAGATCATTCGATGTCAGGCTGCGATGCGCTTCGCCGTGGATGCTCGGATAGATCGAGGTTAAAGTTAGCTGCTTTTGCACTCAGAGATTCTCGTCCAGGGTTTCTAGAGTTCTAGAGCAGAGCTGTTCTGCCTGCTGTCTGTGCCTTGGCTTAAACGGTTCTTTCAATGTCGCTGCACGATGTCTGCTGCTCTTGCCCGAAAGGCAACATTCCAAGTTAACAGTGTCTCCGCCAGACGGGGGCCCAAGGTCCCTGCGTGCTGCCAACTACTGATTACTAACGAACAGGGCGCTGCAGATCGACACCACAAACGTCAAGCGCATTGTCAAGTGTGATTCCTACACAGTTACGTCGCTGTGTTATACTATACTCCAAAGCCCTATTCCTGTTCCGATGAACAAAGGCCCTTATATGGCCGATGCCTCAGGATTACACCATCTTCTTCCGCCAGCTCGCAGATGCTCTGGAAGTGACCGAAGAAGGTGCAGCCGGGAGCGATCTGGTACCAGGACCAAGGGCTCTCGATTCCGGAGCTCTTTGTAGGCGTACGCGGTGTGCCTTCAATGATGTGCATGCCCGCTGCTATTCCAACCCATGTGTGTGCATCTCGCTCGAAAAGGAAGCCTGGTTCGTATCAACGGATTGAAGAGTGCCGAAGAGCTGAATGGCCACTTGCTTGCAACAAAGGGCTAAAGGGCCCTCAGCGATCCTGCATCCTACTTGCAATGTGTTGAGACTCCGTCTTAAGACTCCCTTCCCCAAAATATCATTACAGCTAACACCTTAGACTTCCAAAGCCCTAAAGGCCATAAAGGCCCTGAACATGTCAGTCCAGGCGCCTAAAATGTCTGGGCCTCCTCCGGGGCCTTTGCCTAAGTCCCAATGAGCCCACCCTCAGCCCGAAACCCTAAGCCCTCTACAAAATTCTTAACCATCTATGACAGCTTTGAAACTCGGAATCCTGACGGGAATAAACTTTTCGTGTCATGGAGCTCTTCGGACTAAACCTGAAACAAAGCTTAAACCCTAAGTCGTAGCAGCCCTAGTTAGCTCTAGATCCCTGTCCTACACCCTACAAAACGTGAGAAGCTCCGAGCCCTGAACCCAAAAGAACCAAACCCGACACCCAAGGCAGCCTCGCCACATGTGGCGAGTTCGTCACCAGCAGCGGCCGATGGGCGGTGGTGACCACGGTCCCCAGCCGGAATACCGGTTTAGGGTTTAGGGTTAAGGGTTAAGGATCAATCAGATTCTACAAACTGTAAGAGCTACAATCAGCTATAAGCGTATAGATCAGAGTCTCAAAAACCAGGGTTCTGAAGGCTTCTACACGGGAGTTTCCAACGGTCCGGGGTGTTTGAGGGATTTGGGGGATGTTGGAGTTCTGACAACCGGGTGTACCTTCTTTAAGGCGTGCTGAATAGAAGACAAGAGTGGCAAAAGTTGGGGCCCATCTTAGGGCCCACAGTTCTGAAACTCCCATGTGACTGTTGCGGGACCGCTTCGTTCCTCAGCGAGACCTGCACAGCGTTTCTATTTTGGGGTCTCCTTATCAACAGAACAGAGTTGAAGAAGAGTGCCCGTATCATTGAGGGATTGGTGAGGAACCACTCCTCCGACTGCTTTACATTGGCAAGCAAAGTCTGCCTTCCCAGAAATCATGTCCTGCGGACAGCCCCGGTTTTTTCGGCTCCAGAGTTTTCAGTTGCCGAGGATGGAGACAAAGCGCTCAAACCTGAGAACCTGGAGTTCATTTCCAGCGGGGAGGCTCTGTTTGCCACTTGGCCCGGAATTACACAGACTTGCTGTGACGAGCCTGGCCTGGCACAGGCGCTGCTGCTTTCCTCGGAGGGGATTCATCGGATGTCTTACAAAGAAGGGCCGGGCACAAAGCGAGAGTCGAGGCCCTTCACTGCGGTCTGAGGCCACGGTCAGCAGGGCATTCTACGACGCCCCAAAGCCGGACGTCCGAGTCCAGTGGTTGGTCTGGCTGCGACGTGTCCCAGCTGAACCCCATCAGAAGACCTCCCTAAACCCGTAGGCCCCGTAGGCTGGAGGCGAAACCCGAAGAAAGAGCGACTTGCGGAGGCGCAAGAGATGTCTAGCAACTAGGGGCAATAGGCTTCGACAGTCTCAAGGATTACTCAGGGACGCTCCAACTTAGAGTTCGAGACATGAACATGTTTGCTGCTCGAACTTCGTATCGAAGCCTCTTTGGAGCTCAGGCTTGCGAAGTGCTCTTACAGCGGAAGGCGGCACAGCAGCGGCCGCACAGCGGATCCGCGCGACGAATCCCAAGTACATTCCTCGCGAGTGGATGTTGGTGTCCCTTGGCCGCAGTGCTTGGAGTGCCGGTGCTTTGCAGCTGCGATCTGAGGAATACCGCCGTAATTTGTTCAACAGTGACCACAGCAGGGACCAGAGTTGACTCACCTCAACCTGGCAGTTTAGCAAGCTAGGGAACCAAGCGTGCACATGCTTACCTGTCCGTGGGATGCGAGGTATCTTGCCCATTTTCTTGCACGTACTTGGTGTGAGAAGAAGCGACTTGGATTGTCAGGCAGGCGTACGACGCCGCGGCCAAGGGCGACTACAGCCTGACGCACGAATTGCACCGCCTGCCCCTTCGATTTATGTTGCTACTCGAGGTCTTCGGATGGAGCTTGAAGAGATCTTTCATACACGGAAGTTAGAGTTCTTAGTTATTCAGAATTACAATCAAGCTTGGGCAGGTTGGTACGAGACCAGTTAGCGGACCACACCACTCCGCGGGTAGTGTGCGCTTCCACGGAGCGTAGAACTTGTCCTTCAGCACGTCTGGATTTGAAGGGGCTGCGTCGTAAAGTAGTTAAGCGGTTCGTCTCAGCCATTTGCGGGCACAAGGTGACGAACTGTCACTGTTGATAGTAACTCCGTGCTCCCAACGGGGATTGGGTTTCGGTTGTTGAGAGGAGCTAGTGTCACGGACGTCCACGTGTCAAGTTGACCGTTGCTTGTTTTGTTGCAGCCGGTTATGACATACGTAGTCTGTGCTAGGACGGACTCCAGCCACCTTGCTTTCCCAACCGTTGGCCACTGGCCCCAAAACAGCGAGAGTGCGGGGTTTGTGAATAGTTCACATCAGGTCACGTGTAACATCTAAGCAGACGATACAAAGGTTCTTGAAGCCTTACGACGAGCAGCCGGAGTTTCACGACAAGTACTTCTGCTGCACGCCCCCTTGCTATCGCGGCAAAGGTGGTGTGGAGATTATGACCTGATCCTCGTAAAGCGAGGTGCGCAGCTGAGCACGCTTCTGGACGTGTCAGGATCCGAAACCAGGACAGTGTTACACTCGAGAGGAAAAAACATCGTAGTTCACTGCTGTGGTCATGTGTACAGTCGTCCAAGAAGACTCTGGAAGCTTGTCACGCGCATCTCGCTTTGTAAGGTGCAGCTTCCTGTGTCACTGCTAATCCATCTAGCAACCTGCGGACCTGCGAATCTATGCGTGGTTTGTTATTGTTACGGTAGTTCGACAGCCGGTAGTCGAGTGACTAGGAAGCTCCATCTTGCCGTTGTCCCACGCTTGTTTCGGCCCCGCCGTGCAACAGAATGATACAGCGCATCTTTGTGATGAGTTCGTATGGACGGCTCCATAGACACATGAAATTTTAGTTTGCAGAGCCACTGAGCTCGTCGTTCAGAAAGCATTGGATACGGTAGCTCCATCACAACTTCCTGGTCGAGTGGCTTTTCCCGGTTGGACGGCCTCCCTCGTCCTTACGCTCACGCACGGCGCTGTTGACAGTTGCAACGTGGCAGGGCCCGCAAGTGGGACTCGATTTGAGAAATCTGCAGCAGAGGCAGCTGGAGATGAAGATGAGGGCTTCCGTGCGGCTTAGGTACTCCGAACCGACTGGCGATCAGATTGGAGGGTTTTGCTTGAGGCATCCCAGGTTGAGGTTTGGGGGGGCCTTCATTGCTTAAGAACAACTGCGGGCATGCCCAACTGCGGCCTAACAGTTCTCCTACATCGCCGGTATGTAAAGTCAGAAGTTCGAGTTCAGCTTGCTGTGCCTCCCGATACGTCTTGTCTGCCTGGGAAGGTCCTGCCTTGGTATACACGCTGAATAAGTGGCGTGTAGCAACCATCCACCTATATACCCTAAACCCTAAGCCCTGAAAGTCTCTAGAAGTTTGGTTCTTGACATTCGGCGACTCTAAGGTCTCGCAGGGCTCGCATCTAAGAGGCCGAGAGCCCGGGGCATCTTTGCAGTTTGAAGACCCATATTTATTGATTTCTTGGGGCCATGGTGATCGTCCCACAGCAGCCCAAGGCCACAGAATGCCTTCGAATCTTTACATCTCCAAGTTGCTAAGAGGCCGGAGGCGTTTCATCAAGTGGTGCTGAAGCTCACAGCAGCGCAGCACAAGAGCTCATTCAGAGCACAGCAGAGGTGGGCGCCCAGCAGCCGAGGGCCTCCAAGTAGTTTGCCTGAAAAGCAAGAGGCATTTAGTTCTTGGGGAGCAAGCGCCCTCGGCGGGAGCCTTCTTCCAGACCAGCGATTTTCACAGCGTCAGTTCGCAGCGAAAAACTACGACTTTCAGAGCTGTACTGTACTCCCTCTTGCATGAACTCCGGCAATCATCGGAATCTCAAAGGGAGGTCTCTGCTGTTCCATGGCAGAGTGATTTTTTGCTCACGTGTCGGGATAACTTTGATTTCTGGGTCAGAGATCATTGTGTTCGGTCAGGCCCTATCATCGACCGACTTGCACAAGGCCGTTCTGTCAGTCCTGGCTCCTTTCATGCGTCTTGAGTGAACTCGCAGAACCGTAAAGGCCCGAAAGCTGCGCTTTCGATGTGTAGTCCTTTGTGCCTAGGAGCAAGTAAGTTCGCATTATTCTTGCTACAAGCGGTATTGCTATTAATAGTGTTATCTATCATTGCCAATTTTTTGTGAGGCACAAAGTATAATGGGCAGCAGTTGGACATCTAGCCAGGGTCTGAAGTCCGTGGCCGATGCCTCGAGCTCAGCTGTGCTCGGTCAGCTCATAGGTGCTGGCTTCATATGGGTTCGGGTTTGTAGCTTTGGCAGGGCTTCGCAGGCTTCTCATACGCTTTCAATTCCGGAGCTGGACATCTAACGGTAGTAGCAACCAAAACCCCATACAAGCTATAGCCAGCCAAAAGCCCCTAAAGGCCCTAGACCCTACAGCACAGACCACTATACTGTACTCTATGCCTGATAAGCCTGATAAGCCCAAACCCCAAACCCAGAATCAACATTAGTGTGTTCTATGACCATTAATCCAGCTCTGAGTGCCCCCCGATACCTTCGCCTGCGCTTCTACAAACCATGTAGGAGCAGTGACCGAGGCGGGTTTTGGTTGGGTTAGGTCGCCAGTTTGGGGAGCATTGAGTGGTGGTGGTGAATCCCTCCGCTTGGAGCCTCGGTCCACCGCCTCAGCCTCTAAGGCATTCCTACCAAGCTAACAGTGCGGACGGAAAAGAGGTGTCAACAAAAAACAGAATCAAAAGCCCGGCAAGCCCTAAATTTTGGAACCCGCGATACACTCACTAGGTGCCCCGTAGACCCTGAGGCCTGAACCGAAACCCTACATCGAAAGCTCTAGGACCCCAGAAACCCACAATGCCCTATCGACCCTAACACAGAAAAGCAAAATTTGAGAAGCGACCCTACACCCAGAAAAACACCCTATCAGCAAGATTGGAGAAACGACCTTACCCCGGATCAGACCCTGCCCTTTTGAGCTTGAGGAGCTTCGGAGAGAGATCCAAGAGCGATGCGACGCTACCGAGCAGCGCTTTCGGGACTTCTGCCTGCTGCCGAGCGGTAAGAAATCCTAGGAACAACGTTCTCAACATTCTAGTACTGCGAAAATGGACTGTGTGTATACAGACTGTATACAGACATTGGCGCTTTATGAGATCTGCCAGAAAACCCTTGGGTGAATTGAGTTTTGCTTTCGTTGCACTTGGGGAGCCGAGGTCGAAGACACATGTCCCCTGAGAACCAGGCGGGGTGCATCTTGGTGAAGCTAAGTAGAATACATAGCGCTGCATTGTGGCTGCAAAAGCCGCAAAAAGGGCGCGACTACTTGTGGCCGCACAGAGCAGCGAGCTTCAAGAGGCTGAAGATCTGTCAACTAACTCCACGCATGCGGCTCGGCTTCGAATGGCATTTAGCCCTGTAACCTAAGACTGGGAAGCCAAAAGATCATGCTGGCTTGCAGCTCATACAATGACTCGCAAGACACAAGGCTCTTTTCGTCAACTCCTCACAAGCATTGCCCATTTGACCTGCTCCCCTTGACTCGCCACTAGCGAGTCTTGGCCAGGCCACAGGCCATACCGAGCCGGCTGCCAAAGACGATGCAGCAAAGGCCAAGGCCGAGCTTAGGATTTTTCGAGTTCTGCAGCTTCAAGTTTTCAGAAAGCGGCCGAGTTCATGTGCAGGCACCCGACGACGTGTCGCAGAGGCCTGCCAGCCTGGCAGCTGTAGCCGGACTTGTGTGTGTGTGTATAGATATGTATGTATACACTGTAGATGTAGATAAGTATTTATTTGTGTATTCATTTACCTTGTGTGTATACATATATATATATATACACATGTATATGTATGTACATGTGTGTCTATATCTATGTCTATATCTATATCTATATCTATATCTATATATCTATTATACACACATGTTTAAACACACAGGGGTACTCAAAACCGCATGTAATTGGGCAATAAGCCGTATGGGAAGTATAGCACATATACACTTCCAATATGTGATCATGTGTGTATGTATGCATGTGTGTGTATGTACGTATGTATGCATGTCTTGAAACCTAGCAAGTTTGCGGCCTAACAATGTTGTTCTTTCGCAGCCTTCGGCTGTTGCAGTTTTGGAGACTTTTGCTGTCTGTGTTTTTGTCACTTGAAGACGCGGCCCGACTCCTGGGCAGTCTGCTCTCGTGGTCGTTTGCTCTTCATGGCAATGCTGCAGTCTGCATCTTCGCGCCCTCACCTGCCAGGCACTCTCCACGCCCGAGCGAGGCCGATACAAGGCAAGCTGCAACGTGCCAACAGATCCAAGCATTTCGATGGTAGCCAGTAGCAGCCCAATCCGAAGATGGCCAGGGGTATGGGTTCAGCTTCCAAAGCTGGGGCTCCTAGACTGTTCTTGCCGCATCTTCAGAGTTGAGAGAACTGTTGATGGCTGGGGTTGCCCATGCAATTTGCGCGTCTGTGCCATGCTCCAGAGCAGGAAGGTAGAGAGTATATGTGTATCCATATGAGCGTGTTCGTTCGTAGCGAGCAGTCTTGTTTTTTGTTTGAGCTTGCAGCTCATCTACTTATTAGAGAGATGCTTCATAAAGAATCAACAGCTTATGCCATGTTTCTTATTACGACCTGGAGACTACCCAAGGTTTACACAATCCCCAGAAGATGGTATGTTGAGTCAGTTGTCACGCGTCATATCATGCAACATGTGTTCGTGCGTTCATGCGTATATAGACAAGAAAGCATATTGACAATGTGATCGGATGCGACGTAAGCCAGTGCCCGGCCAAGCTCGCGAATGTTTGCAGCATGCGAACTGCTAAGTGCTGAGTATTGTCTAATGCATCCTGCCTTCTGTCGGCAAGAACGTGCAGCAATGACAACACGACAAGCAATAACAACATCATAGCATCAACAAGTAGCACAACAAGGAAGCAAGTCACGTCTCGTGGGCATTTCGTCGACCTACTACATGATGCTGATGTTGCTGTAACTAAGACTATATGTTGGAAAGATTGCATACACCTATGTGGCATTACATATTGCTGGATTCTGCGGGCACTGTTGATGTGTGAGTTTTCCTGCTGAGTGGGTAGCAGGATCGCAAGTTCCATGGCAGGCACACTCTGATATGTATAGCAATATTAATGCACATACATACAATTTGTTCTGTAGGTGTGCGGGTGTGTATCAATGGATGTATGTATGGATGGATGGAGGGAGGGAGGCAGGGATGAATATATGTGTGTACCTGTTTTGCTGCTGTTACAAGCATTGTCAAGTCGTACAGTCTGTCGTCATCCGCACCCGATGTCATTATCAGTTCCGGTCATTGCTGCTCGTGCGTGCGCGTGTGTGTGTGTGCGCGAGTGTGCGAGAGTGTCGGTCTGTATGTGTGCGTGTGTGTGTGTTTTGAATGACGGTGAGATTTGTCCACAGCCTATTACTCTGTCTACATGTACAGCTGCCATGCTGTTA